AATTTATGATTTATGCTTTTACCAATTCAACACCAATGATTGTTTTTTTTTTAATAAAACAAGAAAACGATAAATGTTCACGTTGATTAGTAGTGTTTTAGAAATATTTAAATAAGACTACGTTAGTCCACGAGTGACATGCGGATGACGTTTCTTTGTTTACAATTTGTATGACGTCACATCATGGCAGATAGCCTTTACACCGTTTCAAATTATTTTTTTTTAAATTGGACATATATATATCCATCTAGAGCTTTTTTGATATCGATTTATTTCATTTTCCCAAGTCAAATACTATAAGAAATACTCATTTATTCTAGGAACTTAGATATGAGTCAAGTCTATTGGCATCACAATCAAAAGCAAAAGATGAAACAAATGAATGTACACCAATCAAGTGGAGAAGAAAAATTTTGCTTATGGATATGAAAAATTCTTCAATTGTGCGAAAAAGATAACAAAAGACAGCTTCTCCATGTGGTATCTTTCTGATTAAGCAATGATTGTCCGATTCCCTGAAGAATGCCGTACCTTTACGTGGGATACGTATGCTGTGTTGGAGCATTTAAATCTAGCAATTCGTGAAGTCACGTTACAAAAATGCATGGAATTACCAGAGCTGTATAATTTATTTGTGATTAATTAAACATTCATGTTGTTAGGTGATTGCTTCATCCTTCATTCATAATCGTGATAGAAACGACAACAGATATACCTAGGTTTTTTGCAGGATTAATGAATAAATAATTGTAAGTACTTCCTACGCCCATGCACATTCCTCAAATGATTCCGATACAGCTGTCGAGCTGTATGTAGAAATGACATTTTAGTCCAGTTGGATTTCAGCCGAAAATTAAGAATAAATTGTTCCAACCAGCATTTTATCGCTTTAAATATTTACTGTGTATGCAACTCCCGTAATATTAAAAATTTGTTTTAGGGCCCACCATTTGTAATTTGTAGAGTTAATGTATATGCAACTCCCGTAATATTAAAAATTTACTTTAGGGCCCACCATTTGTAACGTATGGCACACTTAATATAAAATATCCAGTAATTTGGTACCAATGGCCTACTGCATAGTAACTTTTCTTGATAAAACTAACAGGTCCTTAATCTGTTTTACATTTTTTGTTCAAAATGTGAAAATTTCTTATAATCGCTACCCGAAAGGATCATTTGCTTATTAAAGCTGAAATTGAAACGGAAAACCTAACTTGAACTCGTTGCTTAAATGATAAGATTACACTGATAAACATGTGTACATTCTCTGGTAAATTCCGATACACCATGGTGTCGATTCAGGCTTAACTGGTTATACTTTTGGTGGATGTAATCCTTGGTGTAATTGTTGTATGGATTTTGGGAAGTTCTATAATCGACAGAAATCAAATCAAAATCGCGCATCAAAAAGTCGCGGTATGTTGATATAAGCGAGTACAAAACTAAAAAAACGTCTAAAAGTCCTGCCCATTAAAGCTTATGCTCGCTTTTCGAAAGTGCATCATAAATGACATAGTTTGAATGACAACACAAATAGACAAAAAAGATTTTGCACCTTAAGTCTCTACTTGTACATTCAGGACTATATTTACTGCAGGATCTTTTGATAACCCCAAAAATGACATTTCGAAAAAACGAGAGTTTAATGATTCATCAAGTAGCTTAATATTTCATTAATGCTTGACATGACTTGATTTGTTATTGTTCTACTTGACTTACGGTCAAACAATTTCAAGCTACTTGATTCTGGGTAGAAAACTATATTTTGGTTCTACCTTGGATGATATTTATTTGTATAGCCGTATTTTGCATTTTAATGCAAATAATAACGTAGAAAATCTAAATTTCACAAGACACTGTCATCTGAAACGATGCATGCAAACAACGTTGCTCCCAAAAAACTCGAAATCGGTAAGAAGAAAAAGTGAGGGCCGGCATACGATCAGTGGGGGATCAAGGGCTTTTGGGCCACGAAGCGCCATATATCAAAAGTATATTTTCGTATAGCCAGGGCACACAACACAAATACACAGGTTTTCTATAAATATAAAAACAAATTAAAAATTAAGCTTTTTCAAAAAGAAAACAACTCAACAACTAATTGAACGTTTTTTACAAAAAGAAAATATATCTCCATACATCTTTGTTGTATAACAGATACAACTTAAAAATAATTATTATGATATACTCGTAGGATCCAAATCAAGTCAGTAGTCACATCCATTATTTTTAATTTTACCACCATTATAAATCCGTTAGGACCCTCATGTTCTTCACTCGTGGTTAGCAAATGAAAAGGTAATTTAGAATTTTCCATTGTTTCAGCTGATGAAGACATATCTTTTCTACTTGAGTTTACAGTTTTATCGTTCTACTATTTATTAAATGATGAACAAATTATTTTGTTCAATACGTATTGTTTTCTCTGAAACTTGTGACGATTAAAATATTTCCGTTGTGTATTTATAATCTACTTGTATTTATTATACAAAAATTATCAAGTAATGCCATGACTAATATCAGATTGCTAATATCTAACACATGACTTAAGCTTGACTTGATGTCAATTCAAGTCAAGTAGCTTGAAAATCGAATCAAGTAGTGAATCCCTACGAGAGAACGTGAATGTAAACCAGGCGAGGTTATGGAAGCCGCATTCAAAAAAAAAGATTAACAGTGGGCGTAAACAAATGGAATTCATGGAGCATCAACAGAGATAAAACTTTTTTAGAAATAATCTGTTAAATATATCCCAGCAGATATTTATCATAAACGCTTAATAAATCCCAGCTTGGTACTTAGACTGTGAAAATTCTTCACACCTTGCAAATTTTTTCGTACGTAAGATCTCCCTTTAAATTTGACACTGTTTCAAGAAAATATCATGTTTCCATACTTATGTTTCGCATGCCTTGGGGCAGGGTTAGTTGCAGCTTATTGCTTAAATAGTTATGTTAATTTCTTATGGTTTTTATAAAGATGGTGATTAAAATTGACAATAAACTGTTTTTGCTCTTGTTTTTCTAATTTAGCGTTTTATGAAAAAATATTTCATGCGTATGTTGTGCATTTTTTCATCACTGGCATAATGGGAACATTAATCATTAATTAAATTAATAAAAAAGTTATTGCGAAAAAACTGTTAAATATCCAAATTGCATATTTATCTCTACTTCAAAAGAAAGGGGTTCAACTCTGTAGTAGGTACCTAGCACCGTAGTCCTTGGAAGAGTAAGACATCAATGCTTCCAAAGTATGAAAGTATGATAGTACAGAATAAAAAAGTAATTTTCGTTACAAAAAAGCATTTTTGTAGATTGCGTTTTAATCATACGGTAGGTCACAGCATGTAATTAATAATAATTCTACTTAACGAATGTAGTTTTTTCAATTTCCACTTTTTTGTCATCTGGTAATAAAAACATTTCCAGGTGGCATAACAGTTTTTTTAAATGTGTATAATAACGAATTTTTTTCGAATATCGTAGCGCATCTGTTAAGTTACTCACAAATACGAAATGTTTGAATTTGTTTAGAAGAAAAAAACGCAACCCTTTGTTTTTCGTATAAAAATAACATTTGTCTTTGGGAATGGTTTGTGGTTAATATCGCCACGGTAAACTTGTGTATTTTGCTATAAAATGCTGTATATTGCTCAAAAAACTAGTAGTGATGGTCGGAAAACAGGTGTTTTGAGACAAGCAATTAGAAATTCTCAAAAACCACTTTACAAATCTACTCCAATTTTGTTGTGGTTATTTAGGCCCGTATCGTCAGTCGTCCCTACAATTGTAAGGCGTCTTTATGGCCTCCTTGATTGTCATAGTTTTCTGCTTTTCCGTGTCAGAACTCTATTTTGAGGTTATGTCACAAACATCTATTTGCATCAAACTGTGCTTGGTTTTGAGTTATATCATGTTTTATCAGCCTGAAATTTCCTACAATTTAGAAAGAAAACATATCTTCACAATAGGAGAGCGCTGACGTTGACACGGGACAAGTGTAATCTAGAAATTTTTGAAGGAGAGAAAGAAGTATGACAATCAAGGAGGCCATAAACGCGCCCTAAATTGTAGGATCGACTGACGATACGGGCATTAGAAGTCTGAAGCATAGGGATATAAAGAATTTCAAGTAGCTGCGTTAAATCATCGTCGCATTACCAACAAATGCCAAAACCCGTATTTTGCCTAGGTTTTCGGTCATAACTTTTTTGCTATCAGTCGAATCTTTTTACGCGTGATCTCATTTTGTAGGTCTCGTAAATACCTAAAAATCTTATTTGAAGAGTTCTTTTTCGTTCCTGCTAAGAATCGATTCGTTTTCTCCTTGTTGTAAATAAAAAAAGCTTTGCCACAAAAGTTGGTGTACATATTTTATGCGTCCATGTTTTAAAAACCCCCTTGAACAACTTAAGACAGCAATAAAACCAAACTTTACAATTGTTTCGCAAACCAATGAAAGGCCCAGTTTCGAAAATAAGAATAATAAACATCGTAACAGAAACAGAATTGATCAAAGGAAACAAAAATATTAGTTATAAAAAAGCAGCCCACAGGCGCAGATAAAACCAAAGGGAATGAAATGTCTAGATTAAAGATTATGCTTAGTCCGTAGTTTAACCCACTCATACTTTGTTGACCAAACCATGATAAATAACTCCTATAATTGTTATTTGGGACATTCATGTCAAGAAGGCTCCAAATATATTCATACAGGGAAGAACGCAAAGACAAGTAAGTAAGTAAACAGTTTTTTGACATATTTTTTGCTTTCGGATTTTTCTAGTACACTGTTAAAAATAGGAATACACCAAACACGAAGATGCAAAAAAAATAAATTTGGAATACCTAATTACATTCTAGAAATAAATACATTACTACCTTAAATGAATTGAAGCTTGAATCTAATTCCTATCATCCATGAAATAAATATTATTTACTAAGCAATTACGGTGACAATAATTCCAAGAAAATTTTTCCGGATATGGGACTCACCCGGTTGCATTCCAAGGCTTCGGCCGAATGTTCCTCCTTCTGACGGAAGCAATTGGAACACTTGGTCTTGTGGAATATGTTTGGTGAAAATTTCTTGCACTGTGACATGTTGCACTTTGTAAATATCTCGCTGGCGACCGTTTTAGCCGTCTTCCACGAAAAACATGCGCACGGCGCGTAATCCCATAGTTCTCACGAACACAGTCACTTTGGTCCCAGGGCACGTCAACGGACGGTAAACAAAAACAAACGAGACACGTACACGCGCACACACGGATAAGACGAACTAGAGTCCACTCGCCTAGGCGGGTATTCAAACTGTGTTGCGCTGATACGTAACTGGCAACTGGCACGACTTGTCATATGGAGCTACTGATGCGGTGCTGCCAGATTGTTGTGGGAAACTTACCTACATTCAGTATCGTACAAGCTGCTTAGGAAAACTACACCTAACTAAAGGAGGTCAGTTTTCGAAAATGGAGGAGTAGAACAACTAACAGAAAGTGGGCGTGTTATCTTATTTGTGTGGAAACTCTATTCTATAACGTTGAAAAAGTGTAAAAGTCTCAACGTCGTCGCCATTAGCCTCATCTCTAAAACTCCAACCGTTAACTTTATGGCATGAAAACCGTATAGGAACCCATGATTTTACCCAAAATAGATGCAATCGTAAACTTATTTGATAAACACCAAAACAGACGTCAAAAGCTGTATAACACAAAGGTTATTGCCCACAGCGCTTCTACAGTGGCGGATTAACAAGAGTAGCAAATGGTCCTGTTTGAGGGCACTGCGCACCAACGCTTTATGAAAGTATCTATCCTTGTGGAAAGAGCACTGATGCAGTCCGCGCCGCCTTTTCATTGCTCAAAATTTCTCTCTGGGCCGCCTATATCGATTTTCAATGACATTAGGTATGTACGTTTTTCCGAAATTTTGACACCTTCGAACTACCTCACCGCCGTTCACATTATGTTCACTTTACAGTAGCTGTGCGTGTTGCATGAACTTTGAAAAGTGAAAATTACTCCTCCCTCTAGACGTATTGAACCTCTTGCATTTCAATTATCATTTGCTTAAAGCCAAGTACAGACCGCAATTCCAGCGCAAACCAAGGCACATGTGGTTACAGATTTGGAGGTGTTCGAGTCGGTGTGTACGGCACGAACCCATATGAACCAACGGTTTCCAAGGTTAGCGTTGGCGTTCGCTTCTTGATCGGTACATCAAAGAAAGGTTTGATTTGGTCTGGACAGGATTTGATGCGCTTCTAGTATTTAGTCGTTTGCCTGCATTCGATAGTAGGAGACTCGTCTCTCGACATTAGAAACTAAATTTAGGTGTAGACGAGCGCATTCCAATACCATCGTCACATGTGCTTGCATTTGTTTGCTCGACGTTGGATGTTCGGTCTGTACGCGGCTTAAGAAGCACTGCTTAAGTGCTTATCCAAAGAAGTGCTAAAGGTGCATCATTTGTACTGGAATACTCCATTAGTTTTAATGAAAAGTATGGCGCTAATGCTAAGATACCATGAACGTAGATCAAGCAAGGTCACTATAATACCGAGCAATAATTTACCAATAATTTGAGGAAGAATGTCCAAGTCTGACAACTCCGCAAAATATCATGACATTCTTTTATCAATAGACATCTATTTGTTGTCGTTCCTACGAATGCCCTCTACACATAAATAAATAAACTATTTGGGCTGCAGCTAAGGCTACGAAAATGTCATGTGGGAATCGATTTTTTTCTCATGACCTATTGCATTATCTGATTAGTCAAATATTTGACTATTTCGTAATGAATCTATAACGTAGATAAGAAGTAGATATCTTTTATCTGATAAGAGATACAATTGCACATAAAGGCAAGATGACAGATGACATATAGGTCGTGCAGTTAAGCACTGCTTGGTGTAGTAGGAAAATGAAGATTAATTCAAATATATTCTAAATTTACTTCAAACCATTATATAATTGGATTTAAAGTTCAAATTGGCAGGTTATTTTGCATTGAACTATTAGAAAAACAAAGCGAGTAGTAGAAAGATGTAACCTGAAAAATAAAATTATAGTTGTCATTGTGAGTGCTCATGTAATTTTCAAACATTTCCATATATCTGATAGCTTCTTAACTAATAACATGGACGCAGGAGGAGATAGGTAAGACCCTAACTTAATTACACGACAGCTTTTTTTCCAACAAATTACAATCTTCCAGACTTTTGCACTCATCAAACATTGCTGTGATCAGAGAGGTATATGATAGTGAATATTCCCCCCAGTGTTTTTCTATGGAATTAGAGAAGGCCTTAGAAAGTCGTTGTTCAATTATAGTTATCGAACCGAGTCAGCTAGGAGATGAAACTGCTAGATGGATAACATTTGGCAACTATTTGCACAAGACTGCAGTTATATCTGGAATAACGTCCATTGTATCAGGTAAGGTACCACTATGTCATCTCATGTAATAGTGAAATGGAATTAGTAACTTCATTGGCTCTATGCCATATATATATTGTAGTTATTACTTCCATAGTCATCTAGTTGATTCACCTCATTGTGATTCTATTGAGGCTTAGGCAGCAAAGCCTGCAAATTGATGTTTTTAATTATATATTGATCATTTACAGAATGAGTCCAAAGATCACTGGCTTTGTATTAATTAATGTAAACCAATAGTCAGCTAAGCTCCACAAGAAATGGCATTTATGTTTTAGATAGATTGTAGGTTTATGAATGTACAAATCAAACTCCTTCCAAAAGAAACTGTAAGTGTTTTGTATTCAGTTCTCTCTAATCATATCTTTCAGTATTTGCGTGGGGTAGCTAAAGGACTAAAAATAAGTAATTATGCGTGAATGGGGGTATCAGATGAAAGCATTTGATTTGCAAATTTTTAAATGGGTCTTTTAATGAAAGTGGTTCATATGTTAGATCCATTTTTTCATGATTTTGAATCCCCAATGCAGCAACACCCAGTAATGAACTGTTTTACTACATTTCTTTGTTTTTAATTGAAAGCCTTGTCTGTTTGGGATAGTTCTTAGTTATGCTACTTTGCTAAAAAAAGTCACTTGAAGGTTGAGTTTTTTAAATTGTTGTATTTGACATGAAGCATATATTCTATGGAGCTTCACTACTTTCACTTCCCATACCAATTTGCATGGAAGTATGTTGATTGTGATAAATTCTGACAATCTGATATCTTGTTTTTTCACTGCTACATCTTGTATACTTTTCAAGGGATAAATGGCAGAATAGTTTCAAGCTAAACTTCACCGTCAATAAAATATGTTTATTAACACATTGACTGCGAACTGGGATGAGGAGACCCACCTCAGAAACTGAAATACTTTTTTGGAAGCCGGCAGAGAGCGTCGAAAGACGCCATCCGCCTCCCACCACAGGAGCGGAGGGCGTCTTTTGACGCTGTTCGCACTGAACGTGTTAACAGAGATCTTTTTAAAACTTAAAAATATAAAATAAGACATAAAGACAATCTGCTGCCTGTCAAATGTAATTATAGTTATATGCAGAAGAATGTACAGTATATGATTGTTAAGACATATAACTCATTCCCTGAAACTGGTCCATGTGGAAAATGTAATATTTGAGTAACTTTTTACTGATAATAGAAACAGCCTGAAGGTTCAAGAATAACAATAAATAGTAATGTAGTTTATTTTTTTTTTTTGTCCTAGCTGGTTATCTCATTTGACTTGGATGAGTAGGTTTAAAACGATGGCATTGAAAAGAATTTGTAAATGGTATTATCACCTTCATTTTTAACAGTATTCTAGCTCTAAGCTTATTTTATTGTAAGTTGTCTGTTACTTTTGGAACAAATAAAAACTATCTATCTATCTATTATGATTATTATTATTATTGTTAAGTATGTCACATAAAAGTATGTCATCTGTTTCTCTCAATCTGCCTGCCAGTTAATCCTTGCCAGAATATAACTAAAAGTACAGCATCAGTTGTGATGAGGTTTTGACACAGGTTGACTATCATGACAAGCAGTGAAAAAGTTTTTATGGTTTTTGAATTTGATGTGGGGGCTATCAGCAAAAAATGCCAAAAACATATGTTTTTCACTGGTTCGTTGTTTTTATGGTTCTTAGAATCGCCTGTACCCGTATTAAGTAACTTAAAAAGTGACATTATATTGATTTTTAATGACATTGAGGGTTTTCCGAAAAAACGTCACCTTGGAACTAGCTGTCACTCACTTCATGTTCACTTGTACTAGCTGTGCATGTTGCCTAAACGTTATGACACTTGTTCTCATTTTCAGATTTTTTCCTACCGAAAAATTTAGTTTGGTTAGTTCTATTATGTAGCTTTCCATTCTGATAATGGGTTAGAAGTAATAACCACACATACTTTCCATACATTTGCGATTCAAAAGTAAATAGGTCTGTTGTAAAGGTTTACAATTTATCAAAATCAATTGAACATAGTTGATCAAATTCCATTTCCATTTCAGTCTCTTGAATAGACGTGACCCATACTTTTTTCAAAATTTTGGAAATTGTTCTGCTTTTACTATAGCAACTATTGCTACAACAGGTCACTCCACTTTGAATAAATAAGGATCATTAACATTTAATTTTTTTTCCTGAGAAAGAATCAAGTAGGTTGACTTCATACCTCAAATGGAGCTTTCACAAGTGTTAGTCCACTCAATGTAATGTTAAGGAATACATATCTTTACCTCAAAGCTAGACTAGATTAAGTGCATTTTTACATAAAATGAGTTCTATATGTTGAGCCTATGAGAATATTGTGAATTTGCTCGTGCTACTTGTAGCAACCACCTACCTATACTAATAAGGAAGTATAACTTTTAATAATGATAATAACATAATAAGTCGCACACTAAATGGAAATTCACAATATCATCATGGGCTTAACATATAGAACTCATTTTAGGCAAAATGGACTTAACCTAGTCTGGCTCTGAGGTACATATATAGAGATATTATGAACGCCTTTTTTGACTGATGGCTGCTTTGCTTGGGAAGTGCAGAATCAACCTACTTGGCCCTTGTTTTATTTCAGGGTTTGCCTGGGCAGACAGTTTTACACCCCAAGCACCACTGAGTATTTTCTCCTTGCTTTGTACAGGTCTCTATACAGCTTCATGGCAGTTTGACCACTGTGTAAAGTACCAAGTAAGTATGACAGTTATGATATCCAATATACTGCCCTACTAACAACGACCCCTGTATCTAAAAATTTCAAAAATCTACATATATACATAGAGAAAACCCCGTATTTTACACTTTTAAATGTTTTAATCCCTCTACATTTTTCTTCAATATATCAGTGCAAAATTGTCTTAATATTTATAAAAGTGTTTTAAGTGACAAACATGAAAATATTTTGCTTTGGTAATACGATATTAAAATATATAAAATGATTGTCTCTTGGCACAGATATAAATATTTATCATAATTACATAGTTAAAACCAGAGATAAACCCTTCTAGTTAAAACCAAGCGTAAACCGAATTTGAATTATACGTGGTTTTAACTAATTATTCTTAATATAATGTGTTGCTGTCTTAGCCCATATATCATAACTAATAGCTATGGCCTAGTATTGCATTTTTTTTATTAAAAATGATGCTATATTATAAATTATATGATGAATGAAAATCTTTAACCGCGGTTTTCTCACAACTTGTTCAAGTGTCATCATAGATGTTGAGCATTGAGGGTGATGGGTAGTCTTAGCAGACTAGTTGAAACTAAATATATCAAATATTCAGGATGCTGCCAATGATATGCCATAGAGAAGGTATGCTAGGAGAGGATACTGTGAGGTTTGCCGGTCGCCTTTTAAATTGCTTTGGCGCTGCATTACTGGTTATCTCTTTGACACATTTTACAATGAAAACAGAATCATATTTGAGTGAAGTGCCCTTGGTTGTTTGGCGTTTCCATCTGCCGAATAAGGATCCATGCTAAATTGCCGGAAAATAATTAGAATATCTGATTTATACTGAGCTGATAGAGTTGTATATTCTCTACATTCATTTTTTCCAAAATATAATGCATACTTGAAAAATAGGTATTTGGCTCAGCACGCATTTTTGTGATGACATTTGCTAAAATATTGTCAGTTATACTTTCTACGTAGTCATGCCATAAGTTCTGTCCCTCGTTTTCAAACAAGTGTAGACCTGTTAATACTTGTCCGATTGTTTACATTGTGGTGTCAGTTGATTAAGCGCTTTTCGGGTAATTACATATACCTCAGTTTGTATTGATCTCTCGAAGCATAACGATGGAGTGGGGCAAGGCAGAGAACCGTATTGCAGTGATAGCTTTACATAAGTGTAATCACAGTGCTAGTCAGATTTTTGAACTCTTACGCGGCCTTCAAATATCGCGTAAATTTGTGTCTAGGACCATTCAGCGGTACAATGAGACGTCCTCTGTTGATGACAGGCCAAGAAGCGGAAGACCTCGTCAAGTAAGGACTCCAGCAGCCATCAAAGCCGTAAAAGCCAGGATTCAAAGGAATCCACTCCGGAAGCAGAAGATCCTATCCAGGGAAATGAAGATTCCTGTCCGGACGATGTCGCGCATCATTAAACAAGACCTAGGGCTAGGGGCTTACCGGAGACGTACGGGCCAGCGACTTACGGCCACCTTGCGACACATCAGGGCGACAAGATCCAAGAAGCTCTTGGAGAGGTACGCAGCTGGGGGATTCCGAAAGATTTTGTTCACGGATGAGAAAATCTTCACCATAGAAGAAAAATTCAACCGACAAAATGACAAAGTGTATGCAAGGAGTTCACAGGAAGCTTCGGAGATCATTCCGAGAGTTGAGAGAGGCCACCACCCTGCGTCAGTCATGGTTTGGTGGGGGGTGTCCTACGAAGGGGTCACTCAGCTCCATTTCTGTAAACAGGGCGTGAAAACAAAAGCGGCAAACTATCAGAGCGACATACTGGATCCTATCGTCAAGCCTTTAAGTGGTACATTGTTTGCCAACCAACACTGGGTCTACCAGCAGGATTCCGCCCCCGCTCACAAGGCTAAGAGTACGCAGCGCTGGCTGGAAAGCAATGTGCCAGAGTTCATTGCTGCGGAAGATTGGCCTCAGGGAGTCCGGACCTCAATCCTTTAGACTACAAGTTGTGGGACCTGCTAGAGCAGTTGGCCTGCTCCAAAGCCCACCGTAATATCGAGTCCCTGAAAGCGGATTTGATCCGATCAGCGGCAGCTATTCCTTTGGAAGCTGTGCGTGCAGTGATAGATGAGTGGCCCGCGAGATTGAAGCAGTGTGTGAAGGCCAAGGGGGGACATTTTGAATAAAACTGTTTGATTATGAATTCTAAAAATGTTGTCGAATAAATAATATCTTTCATATAAATATATCTTATCTTGTTTCATTTTTATCATGAGATTATCATGGGACAGAACTTATGGCACGACTATGTAATGAACCCGCCAAGAATATTCACTATCGGATCCACTGGTGAACGTCAAAGAATTTTCGGAATGTCAAATACCTTTTCTGGTTGTATAAATACTTTTCAGCGTCCAACATACATATTAAATGAAAACTAGTATACTGCAAATGGATAATAAATATATCTCCACCATGAGTGAGTGTAAGTCTAAACAAAACATTTTGACCTTTCAAATTGGTTTGGTCAATCTACCTCTCTCTAATTTTATTCACCCTGTGTTTTAACTTGGCATACCCCCTCTTCGGATACACTTTGTCAAGGCATTGGATCAAGAATGCCCTTTTTGACTTTTAATGTTTTATTAGATTATTCAAAATATTTTTTCAAACATCAATAACTTTGCACTTTTATTTTTTACAACTTTTCACATTGATTGATAATAGGAGACGAAACACATTTAGACAACCAGTACTTTGAAATGTTTTATTTCAGAATATTTGAAGATTATCTTGTCGCTAAATGAAAGCATGTAATGTTGAATTCCAGATAAAAATCAGTGTAAAAAGTAGTTCAAACATTTGTGGAAAACTGTAGCGGCCAGACAGTCCTACCAACATGAAAACCACAGGATAAGTTTCAGGTGTTAGATTAATCTCAGTTTCTTATCTCTGGAGTAGCCAAATCTTGAGGCAGAAAAAAGTCTTCTTTTTCTGATGCTTAAAGGAATATAGTGGCAACATCCTAATATTCAACATCTTTTCTTGTTGAGTATATATGTTTATTATCAGCACACTATGATTCTTGGTTAATTGTGATTTACAATTTATATTGTCCATATCCTGATTCACTTGGAGTAATAACTTTGTTAAGTAAAGGTAATCTAAATTTTCGTATGATAAAATTATTTTTTCGTTTTTTCATGTAGATGCTGACAAATTCACTTCCGTTATTTTGCCTTCTAGATTTTAACTGTATAGTTATTGCAATATAGGTACATATATTGAGATACATACAACTGTATTGATTTTTGTTATAATCCAATAAAGGTTCAGATATTTAAATAAAGATTTAAACACTTTTGTCTTGGGACTGTCTTTTTAGGTGTAATATGTTGAACGTGTGAATACTTGCATAAAAGCCTTTTAGAAAATTGTATCGGTAATTTTGAAAACATAGTTAAAGAGGCATTGTGATGCTGGAAAAATATATTACTTTTATTTTGCAGTATTTTATTAGTCAATGGCGAATACACCACACTTTTTGCAGAAATTGAGATAACATGGAAAATTCCTAAATTCTTGGCTGATTTTTGACTGGTTGTGTTTACATGAAAATAGTTGTATCGAGGTTTTAAGAAAGCATTTTGAAGCTTCAAGATTCTAGTCTTCAGATCTTTCAAGCCAACACACGCGGCAGTCATAGCTCTCACATAAACCTAGGGAATAACGTTAAAAAAAAAATACAACTACTTTGCTTTTTTCCCACGGGCTTGGGATTTTTTTAGTCAAACCATCAATGGCTCCAATGTTCCACTTCAGATTTCTTTTTTAAATGCTCTATTATTCACAGGTATTGTAAAAAAATCTTCCAACAGGTTGAACGAGACCCGCGGAAGCTAGCCAGGCTACCCATCTTAGGGGCGCTGACATCAGCATCACCGGTAGTATTAGTACGGAAGGACGACATGCATCGGAAGCTGTTGCATTGTACAGTCTCGTTACTCTCCGCTAGTTTATGTATCTACCGACTGTATCGTACCATCAAGTAATCTATTACTAAAAATGCAACAGTGAACACGCAATAATGATAGCCGCATTTTAGGGGGCATTTAATAGCTCAGTAGTACAAGGAAAGGACAAAATTATGATGCTTATTTTGTTGATGGAATCTGTTAGGGTTTACGAAGACTCCAGTTACGCAGATTTTCGACTGCTAACTCTAAGATTATGAAGCAGTTTTGAACAAATAGTAGTTTAGTAGAATATTGCAAATTTTACAAACCAAACCAACTGCAAAACAAAACAATTGAGGTGGTTTTTAAAAATTAGACAAGTGGTGTCACTGTTATATTCCACAAAATTTCATCAGATGTTTTCTACCAAAAAAAAGTTTTATATGTGAGGCACATAGTATAATAATGGTCTAATAATCCCTCTGATGTTCCAGTATTATCCTGAATGCATGATTATAACATTTTTACAGTGAACTATATTGAATGCAAATCTTTAGCAAAGCTTTATACTGATAGATCTAGGTAGTTTGATACCTTTTATGTATGCGAATTTTCAAAAGAGGGTATTTTTACCATTATTATTCTGTGCCTCATATGTGATCTAAGCATACGCATCTTGCGCGCATGCTACACCTTCCAGTTCTGCTACACCAACTTGTGGATATCAACGATCACAGTATGTTTGCCATCTTCACTTCTAATCGTACTGCAACTTTAGTAGCAAAGTGTATTTCTAAAGCTGACAAGTTTCTATTCGTACTGTTAATATTTTCCTATACATAACACATTCCATGGTTAAAATAGGTATCACATTTTACTGATCCAACAATTTTACTTAACTTACTTCTGAGCTAGACAGCATGTATTTGGTATGGACGTGCTTTAGAGGTTGTTTTATCATCAAAATTGGAGCATATAGCCAATATTAATTATATTTGATTAAACTGTTGTTTCATATGATTGTTTTTGATCAGGTGTCATCTCTAGAGATCTGTAGTAAAGTACAAATACAAAGCCACATGTATAATATTGCAGTATGAATATTGATGGATATACATACTTCATCATAAGAGTAGAATGTTCTTCCTGTGAAAAAAAGGAATATTTATGTAAACTATTAAACTATCCAGATTTGTTAAAAATTTTGTATTTATCTGCCTCTATACCACCGAAAATCTATTGGTGTTCTATACCCCATTTTCTCTGATTATCTATTAGGCAGGAGGATTATAGCGATACACGCTTTCGATTTTGCTTTAATAACTCCTGGCTGAAGTGGGGAGTGAAACATGGACCAACGAGGGTCGTGATTCAGTTTATTTCATGAGGCCGACCTTGGGTTCAGTTTTCAGTGCTATGTTAGCTAAAAGATCGACGGAGTCACATGAGGAGTTAAAAATTGGTAGAAAAGACGTTATTGAGTCATTATTAGTGCCTCTCTCCTGACTGGCGTATTCACGCGTGAGCGGTCGTTGACTTGCCTCTGTCCCGATGACGTCAGATGAAAACTCACGACACATTCAAAAGCAAGCTATTCCACGCATGCAAGGATCACACTAGAGTGCCACGCCCCATGAGAACAAAGTAGAAGCGTGTGCGATTCTGATTGTGAGATTTGTGTATAGTATTTCTACAGCATGGGGTAGAAACACAAATGACGATTATTTGGATTGAATCAAGACTATTCAATCCTTTGACGATTTTCGAATACCGTCTATATCGCTAGCAACTGGAGTAGCTTCTTGTTTTTACCAGACTGTCTCTGAAGGAGGATATGTTTTTAGCGCGTATGTATGTATGTGGGCAAGGAGAATTTTATTTCACGGGCTATATTCCAAATGGCTTAATGTGGCGCGAGTGAAACTAGGTACAGGCGTCCCTCGTTTTACGCGGTTTCGCTTATACGCGTTTGCGCTTTTGACACCAGTGATTTATTTTACGCGGTTCACTTATACGCGGTTGCATCGCGTCACCGCGTGGTTTCAACGTGCAATCGGGCATGACCTGATTAGTAGGGAATATCCTGGGCAACTTTTAAAAATCATTGAAGAAGAAGGTTTTAAACCTGAGCAGGTTTTTAACGCGGAAGAAACTGGCTTGTTTTGTAAAAAGATGCCAAACCGTACATTTTTATCAAAAGAGGAGAAGACCGCACAGGGCTTTAAAGTAGCAAAGGATCGTCTCACACTTTTGCTTTGTTTAAATGCTTCTGGAGATTGTATGATTAAGCCTTTATTAGTGTATTATAATGTATTAGTGTACAAGTCATTGAATCCCCGTGCTTTAAAAAACAAAGAAAAATAAATTGTCTGTGTTTTGGCGTGCCAATGGTCATATATGGGTAACATGAGACATTTTCTTAGAGTGATTTGAGAACTGTTTTATACCAGAGGTTAAACGTTATTTGACGTCAAAAAATCTCTTGAATTTAAGGTGTTATTACTCATAGATAATGCCTCTGGTCACCCAGTCGCCCGTTTACAGGAAATAAATCCCAATGTTCGAATAAAATTTCTTCCACCAAACACCACATCAATAATACAGCCTCTTGATCAGGGAATCATTGCCATCTACAAAGCTTATTACACGCGACGCACGTTTAAAATGCTGTTAGAAAACTTTGAACTTGACCCTACAAAAACATTAAGCCAATGTTGGAAGGATTACACAATTGCAGATTGCATAATATTAAAGAATCGATTGGTGAACTTAAAAAATCGACATTAAATGGTTGCTGGAAAAACTTATGTCCAGAAATTGTGAAGTCTCATGCGAAGATGCCTGATATCAGAGACGAAATCAAAGAAATTGCTGATTTAGGAAAGTCATTACCTGGAGAGGGATTCGATGATATGAATGAGGACGATATAAATCAGCTATTTGAATCGCGTAATGTTGAACTCACTGAAAGCGAACTCATACAACTGACGGAGAACAATTATGAAGCTCAAGAAAAAGGTGAAGATGAAGTATTCCCGGTACCAAAGGAGTTGACGTTGAAAATGCTTAATAAATGTTTTACCATGGCACACGATCACACCGAGCTGTTAATCAGGGAAGATCCTACAATGGAAAGAAGTTTAAAAACTAAACGAGAGGTTTTTGCAGCATTGGTACCATACAAGGAAGTTGAGAAGAATTTACGCAACGAAGCTAAACAGTCAAAAATTACGTCTTATTTTTCTAAAAATTAATATTTTTTTTAAAAAATTAACGTTTAATGTTCTCATACATAATATGTACAAACATACCTATGTATATTATGTATTTAACAAAAAATTATGTAATAAAATGTTTTTGTTTCGATATACGCGGTTTCTTTTTACGCGCTGTTTTCAAAGAACGTTACCCCCGCGTAAAACGAGGGACACCTGTATACGAAAATTTTATAAAATTGAAATGGCGAATTTTATTTGAAAATTCCACGGACATAGCTTAAACGGCTTGATGAATTGACATACGAGAGTTCTTGACAGTGTGTCTGATACTGTAGTGTATAAAATAGAAATAATAATGATTTTAAACATCTCACGGACTTCGTCCCGAACTTCTTGATGGAGTCTGACATTCGACGTATCCTCAGATTCGTCTTGATAGTACAACTTCATTATTTTCAGTTAATGCAGTAGTTTTTTTGCATTCCTTAAAAATGCAGTTCTCCAAAACATATTTAAAATGATACTCTAAATAATCTGAATTATAACAATACAATTTTTCAAATATCTCAAGATACAAAAAAGTTATGCAACAGATAAGCTTCATATTCGCAGTCACATTATGTCGCACCGGCTGATCAGCACGGTTCGATTTGCAAACAGTGACAATATTGGACATTTTCAGCTACACAAATACGAGTATATAGTTGCCGACACCGTTCTTGGCGGGTCATAGTAAGACTACCAATATCCCTTTATATATCTCCATCTCCCTCATACATACACATGCAGCCTACCCCTGTGTGTTAACGTTTGTTCGGTAAGCTCAAAGACATACGTTTTTTTGTCTCCGTATCGAAAACTTTGTCATTACGTATGAGTGCCCTTCAATCATATTTGTCAGAGTGTTAACTTACTTGACATCGGCGTGCAATTTAAGTTGTCCTCTTAGCAATCTTCAATATAAAATTACAATCAATGGAGAGACACTACCAAACAAATACATGGAAAATAAAACCAACAAGCTCATATGATTATTTTAATTTTAAAAACTAGTTTGGTAAAATTGTGTCACATGATAAAATAAATAATTAAAAAATAAAATAAAACTACACCTTAAACCACAAACATGTTGTTAACACATTGTATGCTCAATATGAAGCCAATGACTTCTTAGCTCTTTGATTCATCAAAATGAAGTAAATGTTTGGCCAGTACTTTCTTAAAAACACTGCTAGCTTTGGTATGATTGTAGAAATTACAATCTCATTCTTCTTTTCAACAACTGCTTTAATGATCTGTTCAGCTACATACTCTGGCTTATAACCTTTCTCAGTAGTTGCATCCATTTGCCCATAAGAAGCACCTGAGCCTGTTAGTGCATTAATGGACAGATTTGTTTTTATATACCCTGGGCTAGCTACAGTTACAGAAATATTATGTAATGAAGCTTCTGCTCTGAGACTATCTGCAAATGCCTGCATTGCATGTTTTGAAGCACTGTAAGCTGACCTTTCTGGTAGGGCAATAAGTCCTTGTATAGAGCTGACAAAAACTATGTGGCCTTGCTTTCTTTTAATCATGTCAGAAAGTACAGCTGAAAAGAACTTCAATTAGTAACTCATACCATTTGTGCATTGGAAATGATAGAAGTACAGCGTTAAATGGGGGTAAGATACATATTTTGGTAACATATTGCCAAATTTTAGAAATTCAGAGTATAGTTTTAACAACGTTAAATGGAAAAAACGAGTGTATAAATATTTTAATTTTGATTTCAGCGATGTATATTTATAATGGATGCACAATCAGTGCAATCAGCTAACTTGAAGTGATTTAGCACTACAGCAGTTTCATGCAGAATTGCAATAATTATGGAACAGCAGTTTTCACATGGCTGTCATATTAATTTTTGATGCGCAATCACTGCAAACTGTCAACCCTGTTCTAAGACTACTGTGATGCTGCATGAAACCTTACAGTACTGAACAACTTTATCTGAATGCACTCAATGTCATTGTAAAACTCCATAAAAAAGCTAATTTGGTTCATAATTGTTCTTGGTAAAAACAAATACAGGGCTATCAGATCAAATTACCACCCTTGAATGATAATTAGATAGTTTACTCATATATAATTGATATTACCTTTAGTTAAAGCAGCAGCCCCAAAATAGTTTACCATCATAATTTTCATATCAACATCCAGAGTGGTGGATATAACAGTACCTCTGTGAGAAACACCACCATTATTGACTAGGATATCAATGTGACCTGTGATGGACAATATTTTCTTTACCTGTTCTGGTAAACTGTCCAATTCACTCAAGTCTATAGGAATTATGATAGGAGGTTGTGCTGTTTCTACAGTGCAATGAGTATTCAGTAAATCAGAGCGGACTCTCTCCAACTCTTGTCTTCTACGAGCACATAGCACCACTTGACATCTATGTTTGTAGAACTCATGGGCTAGAGCCTTTCCTAAGCCAGAGCTTGCACCTGTTATAACAACTATCTGTAACAATGGGAAACATCTGCAAAATGTATAAATCCAAGAAGATACCTATGAAACAAGAATACCATCAAAAATAGTCAGCAAATCAGTATTATATTTTTCGGTGATATGTATATTTACGAGTATGTGTAATTAAAATCTTACCTTCCCTACTAACTCATTCAAATTTTTTTGAAGGCGTACAGCTCTGAATACTTTGAAAACAATCCAAGGTATGAAGACAGCCAAAGCGAGAGAGCCAGCTATATTTAAAGACTGGTACAGCTTTTTCGCAGAGTTCATTCTGTTCTCCAAATACCTATATTATTTTGTGATCAAACCAATGAAATGGGCCTTAAAATTGGTGTGAAATTAGAAAGATAGCACAATTCCAGGGTTATAGAACGCTTATTATTCGATTGCACTTAAAAAAAATTTAATATGGATATGCAATTAAAAGCAAGTCCATAGGGCGATTTAAAACATGTTTAATGTTTATCAATTCACAAATAATGTAAACAATTTTTTAGGTTAGGAACATCTGAGCCACAAAACATATACACTGAAGAAGGTTTAGTCACGTGCTATCCATAGGGCAACACGGTCGATTTACGTCAATCGCCATTTTTTCTGGAATCCACGTGGTTGTCAGATTGTGCATGAACGCTGCCGACTGTTTGCATAAATCTGAGACTCTTGTACAATTATATATTGGGCATTTACTTCTGAATCATAAGTTATGATATAATGAAAGATTCTTTAACGACGTGTTATTAACATATTTTTGTTGTTTTGCAAATAAGTAATCACTTATCTGTTTAAGCAGGAGCGTCAATAACATATGCCATTATAAAATCATTCATATATATCTCTCTATAGCTATTTGAACATTTGAAAACAGTAAAAGAATCTATACTTGAGAATATATTTTTATCTAAATTTCATTTTGTATGAACACATCAATAGTATTTATGGTCCAATTATTTTCAATTCTGGTGATGGTCTTCTGCAGCACCTGCATGGAAAAATTGTTGGAATTAGTGATGAAAACAAATTATTTCAAAAAGAAATAATAGCTATCATTAACAACTGTAAGGTTACTAGAGTTACCAGATTTTTCATAAGATATCTAATCACATTTCCATAACAGTGATCATCAGAATGTAAAAGTTTTAAGGAAAATTATTATTAATAATTATTAATTATTTTATTATTATATATAATTTAGTGATTTTTACAGCATCATTAAAATATATCATAGTATCATACTTTTTAAGCTATACATATTTACTAACGTATTCATTCATATTTATATTCAAAATTGAAATCTATGGAAATTGTTAGTATCTTAAATCAACAACAGAATACCAATATTAACAGAAAAGTCCTACAAATCACTCGATTTGACATAAATTACATTAGCCATGATTGTGAAACACAGCCATTGTCCTATCTATCTCTAATCACCATGGGTTGGCAGTGGAATGAAGCGCCTTCAACTCTTGCTTCTTCAATGTTTCATAGCACTCCACATTTGTGACTGTTGAATCAAGTAGACATCCTCAACAGTTGTAATGTTCTAACAAAAATATCCAATTTAGAATCTCTTTATCACTAAAGCTTTTTTTCAAGCGACAAGGATGCTCCCTTTGTCGATTATAATCATCTAGAAGAAAATTGAGTTGTTCTCGAATACAATTTCACCAACATGTTATGTGTTATACACCAGATTCTAAAGTTCATCAACTCAAAAAAATGTAGTTTAAATAAGAACGACTTTAATAAAATTTGTAGTTACGGAAAACCTACCGGCCCGAGTAAAGATAACATGACAAGTATTGAAATATTCTATTCTAGATTCTAGAAGACTATCCTTGGCGAAATTTTTCTGGAAATCGTTGCACAGCGCTTAAAAAATGCAAATGAAGATTGGAAAACTTGCGTTTTGACTTTTGACGTGTCGCCGTGATTACCCCGGGATAGACATACGTTTTGACAGTTGACCTTGTCACAGGATTGCTGCGTTGCCAGCCCATAGGACAATTATGCAAGAATGTTATATAAAAAGAAGCTTTGAATGAAACATTGAGGGATGCCAATGGAGATATATAGAATTTGAGGCGTAGCAATGTTTGTCGAAAAACTAAAAAAAGTTGTTTTTTAGATTTTGCGTCGCCCGGCGTCTATGCGGCGCAACGTTAATGTCTCTGAAGACTTTTATAAATGCCCAGTTTTATAGGATAAAATATTTTTTGAATACAGGTCTTCTTCCAACAATTGGAAAAAACATTTTTTTATTATATAAAAATATATTTATTAAGTATTTGATCCAAAATTACATGATCATTAATTGTATCACAAACTAAAATATGAACATTTGTTCATTTTGCGACATAGCCACCATAAATATTCAAACACAAGTCAAGCCGTGGCACCAGTTTTTGTGTTAATGTAGCATTTGAAACTTATCCAGCGGTTTTCATGACGACTATTTCCCTCGTCTTAATTTCTTCCAATCACAAACGCCGAATTTTGAATTAGAAATGGTTTCTGGATGGAAAAATTGTATGTCAATTGACAAGTAATTATGGCCTCCTAGGACGGCAGAAAACGCCGCTAAGCTAAATTTTGTAATATTGTTTTTAAACGGTGCTAGTCAGCTTATGTAGTAAAAATAATAATAGTAATAATAATAATAATAATAATAATAATAATAATAATCGTCTTTATTTAAACTGTACTTCATACAGAAACAAGAGTTGCATATGGTGGCGAAGTTTAGCAACATGCTACTCTTACACTTAACCACCCATGCAAAAAAAAAACAAGTTGTTAAGTAGCAGATATCAAACAAAATATACATATATACATACATATACACACATTACATACGTACATGTTGCACCAAGCTTTGCTACATGTACACAAGGGAAGTGAATAATCATTTAACAATATATCTATAGCAATCTAATTAAGACTATGGATCCAAGTAAATATGAGATTTGACAGCTTTCTTGAAGCAATTTAAGGACATGGTTTTGAATTCAGGACTCAAGGCATTGTATAACACTGAAGCCCTGTACGTGAAAGAACGCTGGAATAAAGTTGTGGAGTGAATAGGTGTAGTTATCAAATCTGGAAATCTAATATGTCTATGATGAATATTTCGCCTAAAGATCAGCTTTTCTCTTAAGTATATAGGTTTTGACATAAGTATTAGTTTTGAATAAAAACAAGGTAATGATATTTGACAATATTTTTTGTTATCATCCAGTTTAATTCAATAAGACTACCAGAAACATGGTCAAAGCGCCTTAAACCGCAGATGAACCTAGCACAATTGTTTTGCACAATTTGAATCCGATTTCTAGTAACAACATTGAGACACGGATAATATAAAATATCACAATAGTTGAAAATCGGCATAACCAAAGATGAACACAGTTTTTTCCTTAGCTTATAATTGAAAATTGCTTTATTGGCATATAATGATCTCAGTCTCAAGTAGGTTTTCTTCAAAAGATTTTTAACATGACTGGTGAATCTAAGTTTGAAATCGATTACCACGCCAAGAATTTTAACCTCGTCAACCGGGTACAGTCTTTGAGATCCAATTTTAATAGTTAATCGACTTTTAATTTCTTCTCTCCTACGATCCGAACAAAAAAATAACAGGCTGGATTTACCAGGATTTATTGACAGGTTGTGGTTATTCGAGAAGTCATACACTTTTTGAATATCATGGTTTATTGATGTCTGTGCCATTTCCATATCATCAGTATCAAAATAATGGACCAGTTGAGTATCATCCGCAAAAGACTGGAGTTCACAAAAACTCACAGCCTTAGGCAGATCAGCAATATATATCAAAAACAACAAGGGACCCAAAACAGACCCCTGGGGTACTCCAGACGAGATTTCTAGAAAACTAGATTTATTGTTTTCAATTGATACACACTGTGATCGATTTGATATATAATTTCGAAAAAAATTCAATGCAATTGGATCTATGTCATAATACTTCAACTTTGCTATTAACAACTCATGATTTATTTTGTCAAATGCCTTGGAATAATCGATTGACATCACTGCTACGCCCATTTTTTTATCAAGTGCTCTAATAATATTATCCACTAAGTTTAAGAGGGAAGTAGTAGTACTGAAAGATTTCCTAAAAGCAGACTGATCAGATGGGATGATATGTTCCTCTGCATAATGCATTAGTTGTATGTGGGCTGCCTTTTCAACTACCTTCGATAAACAAGGCAACAGGCTTATAGGCCTTAGATCAGCAAATGAGTCGCTTTGGCAGTGACTCTTTAACTAATATTGATCTGGCGATTGAGATATACCTCAGTATATGTCTAATCTCTCAGTGTATGCAATGGGAGGGGAATTTAATTAAAAAAAAACATACCTAGGATGTCAACCCTGACACAACTAGATGAGTATGCAAGGCTCGCCTCGTTTGTTGCGCAGATATCCTGTTCCCCTCAGAAGAGTTGGAGGTAGACCTAATTTCGACCTTGAAGACATCCTATGTTTTTGTAAATAAATTGCGCACATTTCATACCCTGAGAAATTAGTCATATACTTTGTATTTGGGAAGAACTAAAATTTGGGCAGATCGTTTTTATTTTTGTCTGACTTTATGTCAAGAAATGTCAAAAAACTAATGGCACTATATATGATGGTGTTTTTAATAAAGTGCTACACTGTATCTAATAGCTTTTTCTAAGACTTTTTTAGTTATAAAGAAATGTGATTTTTTTCTACGTTTTCATTATATTCAAGTAGAAGTCGCAAACAAATGCTTGATGTAAGATTGTGTGATTACTGAATTTAACCTAGTCTTATCCTTGTCTTGGCCACCCTGTAATACAGTATTATAAACAGAAATTTATAGAAACGTGCACTAATCTAACGTTCGTAAGTATTCTTATGTACATTTCTGAAAAATCTCAAAACTATTAGCAAGGCCTGGAACAAAGGGTCCAAGGAATTGGTGATAGCAGAGGTAGCAAAATCGTCCGATGAGCTGGCAACGGCGCAATCCAGGTGACAAGATCAACTTTCAAAACGTATGTCTATCCGGGGATAACGATGGTGTCATTAAGAACGTCAATCTTCAATCTTCATTTGTATATATTAATAAGTATTGTGCAACGATTTCGAGAAAAATTTAGCTACGGATAGTCTAGTAGAGTATATTTCAATAGTTGTCTTCCGGGGCCATGTTATCTTTACTCGGGCCTCTGAAATAAAAATATCTACCGATCGTTTTTTGTGCAATGTACATATATATATATATATATATATATATATATATATATATATATATATATATATATATATCAATAAAAATCAAGCATTTGATATGACAAATGCGGTTCCTATATCTTCGATGACTTTCTCCCTCGTCATTTAAAATTAGGTGGACGTGTTTCTCCATTTATGATTTAATAATTTAACTCATTTTTCGGCACTGCCAAGACAAATTTTCAATTGAAATGTCTGTTTTTAAATGACATTGACATAAGACCTTTCATCCGCTAGTATCTCAAGACGTTAGGCGGTTACTCGTACCACG